GGTATAATGTCAGGTTCTTTCATAATCAGGTTAGAGATGGTTCACATAACTGTTATTGTAAAGATGCAATTAAAAAACTTTCAGCAAGCCCCATTTGAGTTAATCATGAGTAGCACATGAGCCATGTTCTGTAACAATTCAGTCACATTGGGCAATGTTGATGATACATACATGGCTCTGAAACTAGGGGTCAGCTTACTGAAAATACCCATAAGTTGATAAAATTTCCTCCTCCGACCCAACCTCAAACATGTCACCAGCACCACCAACTGTCATTATTCATTGTATGCTTATTTCTTCTTTTGATAAATCTCAAAAAAAGTATTTTCATTGTCAATTATTAGCAAATGTTTAGCCCACATTATAATGTACAAGAAATCATGGTTTTCACTGAAGTGGCAATACAGTATTACTTTAGTTAATGGATAATACAGTGTACTCTCAAATACTCGACAGTGGAGACCTGAAACCAGCAGATAAATTCAAAGCATGCAATGAGACAGCAGGGAATTGCTAGGGGTGGAAGGTGAAGTCAGGCAAGTCTTTGATGTGCTCTGTGTTCAGACCACTCCCAAGACTTAACTAAATAAAATTTGTGACAAGGGACTCTATTTCTCCTCTGCCTCAGCTAGCCGAGCTAAATTTGCCATGGGCCTGAACAATAGAAATGATAGTATTTATTCCCAAATTAGGTATATAGAATATGATTTATTTAGAAGCTCAGTTTTATTTATGCCTGCATTTTTGTTATTTTGTTTATTTGATACTGACCTCCAGATTGTGCTAATCCTTGTGTTCATTATTCTCTAGCTTAATTGCCAATCAAATAGACTTGTGGGCGATACATTTAGAAACGGTCAACTGGCATCCATATATATTTAGTATACATATCTCAATCCCAATTAACACGGGTAAAAATAAAGTCATAGAAGGATTCTTTTCTCACTTAACACACACTTATTGGTATTATAGTTTTTACGTTTAAAGAATTTTATTCAAATATCAGTAAATGTGGGATAAACTGCATGTGTATCAATTTTTTTTCTTGTTATTGAAGTCGTGAAGTGTGAGTTCCCAGGCCTTTGCATATCACACAGTAGTTAAAGAAGAAAGATGCGCTGTCCTTTTTTCCTGCTCTAGGATCCCAATAATACAAATTTAAGCTATTTTTTGTGTTGGCTAATGATAACTTTGTGGGTAGTAACCTAATATATAATATATATCTCAATTTCCTTAGCCTGACTAAGTCTTTGCATGTGTTCACCCAGGAGTAGCCAGAACATGCACATCTCCATCATTTATCTCAAAGACCAAGTTCTGGAATTGTTTTTGTTGCAATGTTGATGTAGTTTTATTTATTTGTTAATAAAGTAATGCACTGGATTTAAATATTTATTGCTCAAGTTGCATGTTGCAGTGAATGCACTGACTACATTTTCTACTTCAGTGCAGGAAGGTTACACTAGGAAGATTAGAAACTAGACAACCCAGCATTTGAGACTGAAATGTTATATGCTAACAATTTTGGCTCTTCATTAGCAGAGACAAACATTCTTGCAAATGTGATTTTAACAGACATAATTATTTTGCTTTATTTATAAACACCTTTTTATCGCTTCAGTTAATTATATTACAGCTTTCTCTTTTGAATGGTATTGGATACCTTTTAGAAAGCAGAAATGTTCCAGTCTGTTAGCTGGGTAATAGGTGCGAGTAAAAAATGGAGCAAATGTCATGACATACGTTTATTATCTGTTATTTATATTCAAGTCTATTTAGAAATAAAATTTGAGTTATATTTTTGGTGTTTTGTTTTCTTTTTAAGAATAAAACAAAATTCTTGTTGGCTTAAAGATGGACAACAAGTCGAGGTTGGGACAAGAAGCTGCAGGTCGCTGTATGAAATTAAACTAATTAAGAAATATCCTAAACTTTCATTACATACACTGCCTATATACCAGAAAACAACAACCACATCAAACCTTTTTGTTCATGCTGTTATATTATTTAATATTAAGTACAACCATTTACATAATATATTTTTATATATTGACAACTGTACACACATTATTAAATATCATGTTAAATACATGCTTAGACATAAATTATCTATTTCAACCAATCATCTAAGTAAAAATGTAGACATCCATCTTAGCAGAAATTATGCAATACACAACTATCGCAACTACTTCATTGACAGAATGCACTGGTCTCTCCTATTATGATATAAAAGCCATTACATTCTTAGCATATAACAACTTGGATACTGCTGTCTTGTAATCTATACAAATATATGACTTTCTCCGAGTATAAAAAGCTCATTATGCAATATCCAGTGTGACGAATCAGGAATGCCTTCAACAAAATGATTTTCTTTTTGGTAGGTTTGATAGTAACTGTACAGAATAGTTTGCATTATCAATTCCATGTTTCTACTAAAATTATATTCAAGCTTAGAACTCCAGCTTTTATTACGTATAAGACCAATATGGTCACTTAACATAACTCCCCACACATCAGAGATTTGTAATAATCAAAACGGCATACAAAAACACGAATTACAACATCCATCTGGCATCAAGTGAGCAGAATGTGCATGATATGGTGTGTGCTTTATAATCTCTTTGGACTTGCATATGATGCTGCTATATATATAGTGCAGTTAAAAAGGCACTTGACAGTAATGTGGCATACACTTAGCTGCTTCAGAACACAACAGGTGCTCCACTGAAGTACAAACAGGTCCTCTTTAAATACATGTAGATCAAGAGTAATTACTCTACCTCATCTCATTAAATGACAAGATAACACATTTTAAAACACTGTTTATCTATGATCTCCCCACTCAAACATGGAAAGAGTGCCATTTTGAACTGCCTAACACACACCAGTTAGTAGTAATGTGTGTGTGTGTGTGGGGGGGGGGGGGCAGGTGTCTTTGAATCATGCAAGCAGCTGAAACAAACACAATGTTGAGCAATGGCTCAGGTTTGAAACATTAAGTAAGAGTTAACATGGTTATATATATAGATTACACTGGCTGGTGCAAAATAACATGGAATGGGTTGGAGGGAGGAGAGGGGGGGCAGGAAAAAATCCATTTTGTCCACCCAACCACATACCCATGGATCCACATTTATATTAATATGCTTGATCTGATGCATAGTTAGCACATAAATGCTTTAACAATCTCAAGGACACCAATTGCCTTTCCTTGGTTTTCATTAAACAAGTTAGCATGTGACATTGCTGGCATAGTTTAAGTCTTATATGGATATTAATAGCACGTAATCACACAAAATACCCATTTTGGTAATAAAAGCCCTCTGATGTATCCCTTGTGTTTCAACTGTCTTAATAAGAACTGTGCAAAGATGCAGCTTGAGTCCATATACAGTTAATATAATGCAATGGTTTGTTATCAACAAACTTTTTAGCTTTTAGACTCTTTCAGTTAAATGAGCCAACAAAGGTAAATTAACACAATACATGTACATTAATATTACTAAGATAACTATATTTTTGTATATGAACACATTTTCTCATCAGGCTAAAATAAGTTAGTCAAAAATTATTGCAATTTACCTAGGCCTAACACATAAAGACTAACAAGCACAACTGTAATTCTAAAACAGGAACAGCCCAAGACCTTACTTGCACTTATATTGAAACCTCATTATTATCTAAAGTGTTTTAATGTCTATCTTCACCTTCTTATTTACATTTGTTAAAGATGGAAAAATGTACATAACAAGTGATGTAATACTTAAATTAGCCGTTACAAATTGCTCTTGCAGAGTGAGGGATGAATATTTTGCATGGGCCTACTACAGTTAACAAAACAGGTTTGCATATGCGTCTTTTCATGGCAAGCAGGTCCAGGCCCAGTTTGTGAAACCACCATTCCTAAAGTAATGGTATCACTCCCAAAATTACTGATGCCTTTGAAATGGAGACTATTTACAAAGTATACCCCATGACAAAATGTTTACTAATGACAGATTGTGAAATAGGCCCTTGACTAGTTTATAAACAGTTACTACAAATAAAGACTAGTCATATACGGGCTGCATCAATTAACTTGGGACGAGTACATTTAATGAATAAGGACTAGAATCAGAAAGTATTTAAATCTGCACTTCTCCCAATGCAAGGGATTGACTTCTGGTAAAATGTCAGGAAAAAAAAACATTTCAGACAATTATCAAAATCATGCTCAGTAGAAAAGTATGTGTTAAACCTCCAACCTGTTTTTTACAACAATAAGGTGAGAGATAACTCTTTTAACTACAAGTATCAAAATCCTTTGATCTTTGACAACAGGCTGTGCACAAAATATCAAACCCATGACTATCATCACACAGTAATCTATTGCCAGGGCTGCCAAATTGACTATATGCAGTGACATTTCCACTCATTTCTGACTATTGTTCAAATCCTTTTATTCCTAGATGTGATTCTATATAGCTAATAATGAAATAAACAATAGCGACTAGGCATACTCAGAAAGCTAAAATATTGGCAATCCTATAAGGTATCACACTGTGCTCTGTAGGGCAACATCTCATGTCTTTTCAAGCTCTTGTTTGGTAGAAAACATCACCATGCAAGAGCATCAACAAAAATCACATAGTGCTTAATATTTAGTATAACATTAATAAATATCTTCAAAAGCTGTCACAGGATAACATTATAAGAACCCCATTTTTTTCTTTCATATGTTGTGGTGTTATAGTATCTGCTGGTATGGATGAAGAAAGACTAGAATTATCATTTCAATCAATGTATCATAGCTTGCTGGCCTTTTAGATCACATTTTTAGATAATATTTTCTTTCTTTATCAATTCATGACAGCGTCTGTAAAATCCCATCCTTGTCACAAATTTTAAATTATAATAGACCGATTCTTGCTTACTTAATGCCCCTCTTGAAACACGGCTATTATTATTATTATTATTATTATTATTATTTATTTTTATTTGTTCTGATGGAAAGCCTCTCCGTTCCACTCAATACAAGCTCCAGAAAAAATATTAATAACACCTTTAATGAATATGTGACAGTTGTCCTTTGTAGAACTTCAGATGAGACTGCTAATTACCATTAACATCTGTTATCATGGAGTCTGAGGCACACTGTGATACAAACTCCTTTTGACGGACAAGAAATAGCATTATCTAAACATGAGCATATTCCACAGTTGTACTGCCTCGGATATGTCTTGCCTTGCAGCATTTTTACATAATACAACTCAAAGATGGTCATGCTTTCAAATATAACGATGGCCACATTTGGATCCAGCCAGGTTAGCAGTCTTGAGGCAATGCAGTAAATGAAACCCAATCAACTTCATACTAATCACTCAACTTTATATTAATCAAGAACTTGACAATTTCCCCTCAGAGTCTCAGAAGTTTAACCAAATTCACCTTCATCCTCTGGGAGTTACAGACTCAAAAATCATATTTAGTAATCCCTTATGTCACAAGCTACTCACAGTTTCAAAAACAAGCAGGCACAGGCTCATATTTAAACTATTTAAAAGCTGGTGACCAGATTTCATATTTCATAGATTTTACCACAATCTTTACACCATGCCTTCAACATAACATCCTATCTGGTTGCCTTGCAGTCTTATGTGACTTCTAACTTCTGAAAGTTCTTGACAAGATCCAAGACCCGGGATTTTCTGGACACAGCTGCAGACTCGCTACATTTCTCTGGTGGTGTGGTGTCACTGCTAGGTTTGGTTGATGATACAGGGGCCTGAAGAAAAAAAAATGGTACACTTTGACAATGAATGGCTGTGGATATTTCAGATGAGCACCTCAAACAAAAGCAGAAGCTAAGAAATTTGCAACAAAAATGATTAGCAGATCTGTACTAATTTCTTTCATTTTTAAAAAAATTCCTTGCAAACAGTAATTTTAAAAACAATCCACTTTTAGCAGCGGCATGGGTTTACATCACATTCTAAGAAAATTCCAATAATTACAAAATAATTCAAATTTCATACTACTTGCTTAAGATATACTTAGTCTGGTGTTACTAGGACGTCTGTCATTAAACTATTCACCTTTATCATAAATCCATAGACACCTTATAAAAGCCATATGTTACTCACCAGTTTTGGTTTTGGAGGAGTTTTCTCAATAATTTCAATATTGATGACTGGCTCTGCAGGCTTTCCTCTTAAAATGACATCTGGCTTAGCTGGCTTGCTAGGAGCTGGTCCCGAATCTTGTTTCAAAGACCTGCGCAAAGGTGACCCAAATTTCCGCTCTTCTGGTTGGTCTTTGTTTTCTTTCTCAGAGTCCTGTTTCACGGAGGACTGCCTTGCTGGAGATGTGACCCCAGCTGTTGTTTTCACAGATACCTTGAATGGTGAAACCACCTTTTTGGGTTCAGGTTTAGATTCTGTTGTCGGTGGAGTTTCCCCAGTTGAACTGGTGAATATGGTTTTTCCTCTGGGTTCTGTTTGCTTTAGTGTGACTAGGAGAGGAGTCTTTGCTTCAGAGTCTGGTTTTTCTTCAACTTCAGGGTTGGATTTAGTTTTACTGAAGGATTGTTTGAATGGCGAAGCTCTTGTGATTTCTGGTTTTGACTCAGTTTCATTTGTAGACTTTGTTTTGTTCAAGGATTGTTTGAAAGGTGAAGCCCTTGCTAACTCTGGCTTTTCTTCAGTTAGACTACTAGACCTAGTTTTGTTCAATGACTGTTTGAATGGGGATGTTTTGGTTAGTTCTGGCTGCTTTGCTACACCAAACTCTGGTTGAGTAGCATCTTTCTGACTAGGTTGTTTGACAGGTGATGTTTCTCTCTTAAAAGACGATTTTGCTGCAGGTTTCTCGTGCTCAGAGCCCACAGTCTTTCCTTGCCACTGTTTCAGTGAGTGTCTAAAACTGACAGGTTGAGGCTTTTCATCTGCATCCTTTGAAGTGTCAGGGTCTTCCTCAGCCTTCCCATCTCCCAGAGACGTCGTCTGTCCATCACTGCTACCATCTTGTTGCTGCTGCTGTTGTTGCCGGAGTTTCTCTCGCTTCTTTGCCATGGCAACCCAGGGTGGGTCTGTGTTAGCTGTGTCCACCTTCTCTTGCACAGTGTGTCGACCAGGCTTCACTGAAGGAGTAGGAGGCTTGACTGACACAGACTGGGAGGCAGAGATCTTTGGAGGAGCCTTTTCTGGCTCAGCAGTGCTTCCCTCTGGAGTCTGTTCTGGGCTGCTAACCATACCAGGTGTCACCACAGCCTTGGCATGCTTGATCACAACGACTGACTTAGTGGGTTCTGAGGGGCTTTTCTTTTTCAGGTGGGCAAAGCGCTCCAAGGGTTTAGGCGATGGCTGTTTGGAGTCTTTCTCTTGTTCTTCTTCTTCCTCATGCATGCTCTGGCGCTTGCCTAGAGCCTTAGTGATCTCCTCAGACTGAGTATTTGAGGTGGGGACAGTCCTACTACGCCTGTCCTGGAAGCGTCTGCGTGCAGGTGATTTGTCAGGCTGAGATTCCTCCTTGTCCTTCTCTCTCGGAATGATTACAACATTATCATATGGAGCCCTCATGCTGCCTCTAGGAGACCTCTCTTTTGGCTGGGGAGCTTCTGTTTTCTCAGTGATGTCGGGTGTTTTTAATTCCACGACTTCCACCTCAACGGCAGCTGGCTCAATTACAATGTCTCTCTCAGTCTTCTCAGGCTGTATTGTTTCCACAATTTCAATCTCCATTGGCTGCTCTTTTTCATCTTCACAGGTTTCTTTCTTTGCATGGTCGATATCTTCACTGTCTCCATGATTCACCTGTGTGGTCACAGTTTCTTTTTCATTCTTCAAACTCTCCTCAACTGCTTCATGGTCTTGCACATAGTTGTCAGCCTGGCCAAGCAACAAAGGGGGTGGCGGCTTTGCATCCTGAAGAAGGATTCCACCACCTACTACAGATGAAGCTGGTTTGGGCAAGACAACGTCATCAGTTTCCATGTTTTCTTCTTCCTTTTTTGCTGCCTGTTTTGCTTCGGGTTGCTCAACAACTGGTTTTGTCTCTGTAGACACCTTTGATTCTTCGGTAGATCTCTCAAAGACGGACTCGGGTGAAGCTGCAGTTATGCTGATCACTGGTACTGTTTCCATGGCAACCACTCTGTCTTTTTCCTTGTCTTGTTTTTCCTTTGAATCAGTCTCATCTGAAAAATAAACAATAACAGTATCACATATTGTTCCACACTAAACAATACTGGCCACTGTGATTAATATAACACTAAGCATACAATCTAGAAAACAGATTTTCAACATATTTGATTTCTGTTTTTCTTCTGAAAATACTTTTCAAATTAATATTTCTAGATGATTTACTGAACAAGGTTTTTGAAACTGTGATTAAGAAAGCTTTAGTCTTGCATACAGCACCTCATTAAAATCTGTTTAAACAGTATTTTTTAGTGATTAGTATTACTTGAACAAAACAAATGCATTTTGTGTCACATTTTTAAAACATATCAGTGACTAGTTGCTATTGATAATGGTGACCAGATCATGCCCGGCAGGGCAGTGGTACTTAAGCTTATAAAAAAAGGAAGAAACTAAATAAATAAAGTGCATGTATTCATGCATTTACATTATGATACTTTTAAGATGCATTTACAGTACAGAATGACCAAGACTGTAAACAGAGTTAACCACATCATTTGATAACACCAAATGACCAGGTTAGAAAAGGCTGCAGCAAATCTGGGTATTGCTTTGTAAAGCCACTCCAGTTTTGTTTGCTAAATTTCCCTTTGTATTTGAAACAGAAATTTAGAGAATGAGCCTCATTTATTTATACTGGTCACTTGGTGACATCAAATGTCACAGTTTAGTCTATTTGACATCTAAGATTGTTTTAGCGAATTCCCTTTTATGCACATCAAATGAAATTATTTTTTCTATACATTTGCAGCGTCACTATGATCATGATGTTGAAAACATAATACTAGGCTTGCTGCAGTGTGACACTGATCTCTGTATTGATCTTATAGTTCGAACTGCTAACACATTGCAATGGAAGATTTCTGTTTTAAATTTATGTTCTGCTGAACAAAAAGAAGTAAGAATTCTCAGTTTCTGCCAAAAAACAAAAATATGAAATGTTTGTGTTTGTAAAAAAGAGAGTCGACTTTTTCTTGAAAGTCTTGGCTAAATGGGCTTTTAAAATCATATCTCTAGCACCCAGAGTATCCAGACAAAAAGGAAGTTAGAGCACACAAAATGATAAACCAAAACCATGGATCACTTGCATCTGCTCTTGCTAGCATAATGTTTTTGCCTATGTTCAACAATGAGGTGTGCTGCTCTAGAATTTTGAACTTGCATGCAAATCAGTTCTAGTAGGTCTTCAGTGATCAGCTGGGAAGTTCATATGCAAAGAACATAATATGTAAGACACCATTCACACAGATTTTAGATCGATCTATCCCTGTGGGGAGTCTCACTAGATTACTGTCAGCTTAGCCAGCATAAGCTTCTGTCCCGCCTATTTAAAGCTGTAAGGGGGTAATTAACTGTTTGTGCGCTCGGCTGACTGCAATTTAGCGTGAACCCCCAGGGGGTTAGGTCAATCCGGATGGATCGATCTAAATCTCTGGGAATGCACTCTAACACAGTGGTGATATCTTTGTAAAGCTACACTGTAACCATACTTATGCAACCCATAATGCAGCAATGTTGCAATTTTGTAACATTGTAGCAGCAATGAAGCAATGCTGTATCAAAATAATGCAGTATTTATGTTGTATATCATTAATGTCAATACCTCAAAGCATGAAAAATGAATGAAGTTTTTGAGATCCATCTTCTTAATGTCTTACGTCCATAACAAAAAAGAAAATGATTAAGACATGCTTATGAGTACTGAGTGAATTGGACTGTTTTGCTTCCTTTTTGTACAATAAGTCCTCCAAATTCTATTTCTTCAAAAACATTTATGTTTATTCATTTATCTGTTTATCTTGTTCATTTTCATTTCTATTTTGTGTGTTTGTCAACGTGTGTGTGCATGCGTGTGTTTTCACAAATCCTAACTCGTTAACTAATTGATCAAGAAGTTTAATTTAAAGTTCCAATATCCAAATCATTAACAACTGATAGAAATGATAAAATAATATAACCAAAATATGAATACTTGTAAACATTTAAGATGCCTATTATCAATATTGCTTTTTATCATGCAGGAAATAATGCTTGTAAAATAAATAACTCAATATCAATTGCTTGTAAGTGGATGTATGCAGATGCTGTAATTTGTGAAAGGAACCTAAATTCAAGCAAGCTCTGTCCTTCACTAGTCTTGGGGTCAGTAATACTTCTATCAAAGACATTTCATGTTGTAGAAGTGGACACAGAAAACCCAATGATGGCACATTCGACATTCAAAATACTTCGACTGACAACTTATTTTCAATTACAACAGCGATACTTAGCAATGTTTTTTTTATGAATATGAAAAAGACTGTTTGCCATAAAACAGTGAAGGACAGATATGTAACTTTGGAGCATTCCTGAACATAAAGCTTTCTCAAGGGAAAAAGGATGAATGAAATAAAATGCTGAACATAAAGTCAAACTGTGTGGAAGGTGTTTAAATAAGGACCTGTAGTCAGGAGGGATTTAGAAGATCCTCAACCCTGGAGTTCAAATAAAACATGGACATTAGGATAAATAGGGGTCAAACATAGGATTAGGTACAGATTATTACAATAACATACAATATTGGCAAAATCATACAACTTGGACCTGAGCAACTGCTACCAATTTTGTAAAAGTATTCTTTTAAAATGGGTTTATACATGTAAGGAAAATATCATTTCATTAGAAAAGTGAAAAAAGATTTATATACACTTTTCCTGTGTTTTTCAGAATAAATTTGATACCTATCTTACTCTTCTCTTATAAATGATTATCAGTTTTCTACACACACACACACACACACACACACACACCAACAACAACGATAAAACGAAGTGATGATACACAATGTCAAATATTTTTTCTCTATAATACAACAAAAAGTGTCATAACTGTGCATCATACATATGCCAACATGTTCATTCCTTCATTTTAATTCATAAAACCAATTATAGGATTCCTTTTTGTGTTGTTTTGGGAGTCACAGTTACAGTGACCACAATTTTAGCAACTGAAAGGTCCAAATTAACCTTTACTGGTTCAAATTTGTTGAAAACCCTTACATAGCTGAATTTGGACAACATGAAATCCTATTATGTCAACCTTGGAAAAGGCGGTCAATTTCTTTTTCATTTTTAGATTTGACTAATTTTCCATGGCATCAATGATATGTTAGCATTAATATATATATTTTTTATTTTCTCAAGCAAAAATATATGACCCTTGGTGATGAGTCAAAATTGGCAAAAATGTATTGCTCTAGTAATATGTAAATGTAGTTATTTGATGCTGTTGGACTGAAATATATGACAATCTCCATCATATAACATATATAGTTTTCAGAAAATAGTTTAAAAACTGTACATAAGGATGAAACTAAGCACTTGGACTAGCAAAATTTATGACCTCCATATCAAAACCCTTCAAAACATTCTGAGCAACACAACAACATCAACAAAAACAAACATATTGAGACATTTTATCCTTTTATAGGTTTAAACTACACTGACTTCATGCAAATTGCATATCACATGGTGAGTTTACCCTATGTACCTTTAAACTTCTTGGCAGTTTTCTTTTCTTCTTTATGTTCTCTTTTTGGACTAGATTTTGGGGGTGGCTCTTCATTCACACTGGGCAGCACAGGCGTGGCAGGTCGAGGCTAAGAGAAAGAAAAATAGTAACATTTTAACTTACATTTACACCCAAAAAACACTAATACCTCTATCAGCTTAAAGCTACATTTTTTAACCCTGTTTAAGTTAACAAAAATATATTAAAAGTATCTCTTTTACAGTTCGTTGTTATTTAGGTCTTAAACATAACACACTGCTTCTTTCCAATTTCAGTTTGTTAGCTCATATGAAATAAATATGCATTTAGATTTATTTATTTATTTATTTATTTATTTATTTATTTATTTATTGTGACAAAGTAAATTGCAGTCAAGCATAAGATGAAGTAAATACATCATTTCTGCAAAGCATGGACAAATACAGTGAGATGTCTTTAAAAATATATCAAGTTGTAAATCCTTAAAGCCTGTCATATAACAAAATCTACTTTACCTCGCTTTTCTGTGGGCTGCGGAACTGGGATGAAGCTCGCCTTGACTTAGGTCTGATGGCCATCTTGTGTCTGGCAGCCACATTACCAAGAGCTGATGTCTGCTTTACTGCATCTAAGTCTACATCTTTGGCTTGAATGCCATCTGGAAGGAGACAAGGAATTATATAATTATATACAGTTTATAATTTATATGGGGGGAAATGTCCATTTCTGGTTGTCCAAATATATATTTAAGGTCCCTTTGTTTTTCATACCAATTTCTGTTGATTTTTTTTCTCTTCTCTCTGTACATTTATCTTAGGGATGCATAATATACCTCACAAATAATTTTTAAAAAATTGATAAAATTGTCTACTTATTTCTGATAAATTATATCTGAATCACGGTACTGTGTTCAGTTCTGCCCAAAGACTTCTTATAAACTTAATCAATAGATTGTTTGAGTTGCACTTACCCTCACTGCTTTCCTTTTTGGCAGGACTAAAAGCAGGCTTGGGAAGATGGTAAAATTCCTAAGAAATTCAATATTCATATAGTTAGCACACTTATTCAGTGTCTTCTTTTTAGAAAATAATGAGAGTTGATGTCTCTTAAATTTCTAGTGATGATGCATTGACTAGTTAAGAATCTCTCTGATCTTTAATTCCCAAGAAATGAAATAATTGCTGGGGCAAATATGCTTATAATATTAGTGCATCAAGCGAGTGTGTTACCACAATGCAATGACTCAGAACATGCAAATCATAAAACAACCTTTTAACTGAACCTGCAGTGGTCACAAAAATCTTGGTTTTGAAAAATGCTGACTACTTTAAGATGTAGTTTCTCAAACTGACCAACTGTCTGCCCCTCTTTAGTTTTCCAAGCACATTTAAAGTTGCATGTATTTTCATACCAGTCTGTTAATTGCAGGGGTTGCCATTTGTTGACAAATCATTGACCATACCCAAAGCAACAATCCCTTCTTCTTTGCCCAAACCTCTCTTCCACAAGCATTCCCCTTTTGGTGGCAGTCTTTAAGTAAACTTCATGGCCACACCTGCTATTGATTTGTGCAAAGAGTATACTTCACTCTTCTTTCAATTTCCCCAGGCCTTTACACCCCCCCCCCCCCCAAAAAAAAAAAAAAAAAAAAAAAAAAAAAAAGCTCTCCGTGCTTTCAGGGATCAAATTTTTGAAGGAAGCCTTATCCCAAATGACCAAAATGACCCTCAGTTCAATTCACTTCTCATTTTGAATCTCTATCCAAAACACCCCCTTTTCAAACATTGTCTTGTCCAGGTTCCCTATGATTTCAATGGCACCCAAACTTTTCTCCATCCCCATGCCTTTACACATCTTTAACAATTGCCAGGTTGTCAATGCATCCCAAATTAATTCATAGAGCGACGTAACCCTTACCACCCTACCCCATCTTTAATCATCCATTGTCTACATCAATCTGTATCTTTCCCTTAGCTGTTCTTGCCTCCTGGACATATGACTTCTAGGGGACCAAAACTCTATCCCAACCACTATGCCTCCCCTCCCCTCCCCACCCCCGTCTCTTTCCAATCCACCAATGTCTACCTCTATATCGTCCTCCGAGCTGTCCATGCTTCCCAAGCTTCTACGACTTGTAGAGTGCCCAGTTCTCTTGAGCTGGGGGAGAAGATATATATGAAAGTGTGATGCAGCTGTGTTCATGCAGATCCAACGATATGAGCAATATCCTCAGCGTTCTCCACAATAATACCAAACAATATGTGCTTCCACTCTCCACTCTATTACTCATCCCTCCCCAGGGCCGTGCTATCCTGATAGAGGCTTTTAACAAGAGTAATCAATATCTTGGCTGATTAAACTCGGATCAGATTCTGTGAAATGCAAATGCACAGGAGTCCAGTATATATCCTTTCGCCATTGTGAGTAAAAGTTTGGCCAATTGTTACAAATAATATTGACTGAATAATATGATAAATATGACATCATCATATAACTTAATAAAAATCACCAAAAGTCCGATTTAGGAGGAAATGTTTTAGAAAATATGTAGCCAAATGCACAGAGCCCAGAAATCAGTATTATGGAGAGTAAGAGCACATTGTTATTTGTATATAATGGAGAACTCTGGGAAACATATAGCGAACAATTAGCATCATGTCTGGAGTAGGTGTGAGTAGCAAGCTGTGGGAAGGGATTATCACCATGATCCGTATTAATAAAAATACTAATTACGACCTGATACCTGATGTGTTAATTATAAACTATCTTTACTATTTTGCTTAATGAAACAGTATAATTTGCATCTTGTCTTATAAAAAGGTAAATATAAAACTGATGCAAATTCATAATTGCACTTTTGAAAATAAATTACTTTCCATCCATTAACTTCTCAACATATCTTCAGAATATGTGGGGAATCTCTTTTTAAAACATCTATGCCCTAGCTCTTTTCCATTACAATTATGTCAGAATTTCTTTTTAAAAAACTACTTATTTCCATTAAAGAAAGGATGATTACCTCCATCAAAATTATGAAATCAATTTATAAACAAACAAATAAATAGACACATTTATAAATAAAACATGATTACATCACTTTCTACTGAGTCGTTTTGTTGACAATTTTCTTTTAAAATATTTAAAAAAAAAATCATTCTGTGCTTGGTCTGTTCAGACCAGGGATTAACTTTTAAAAAGATGCCTGACTAAGTTGCATCATCAGGAAATTCAAGTGTACAAAACACTCAGCACAATGGAACTTCTCTGCATGAATATTACACATATATTACCAGAGCACCCAACTATGCCCTAATGATGCAAGTGTGAATTGGCGCTTGTCTAAACAGGCCTTTTAAACTCCCTTCTCTCTTTGCATTAAACTCTGTCATCATCACCATCATCACGCTACCATGCTTCCTCTTCGCTGCACAATCAATCAATACCTCATGATTCCATGCAAAAACTCAAGCTACGTTACCATGGCAACAAAATGCTTCTTGATGGGATTCGGAGCACTACATCAAGCACAGAGATGACTTAATGTGAATGGTTGCAATGGAGTACTTTTCTATACACGCCATGTTCTGTCTGACTGGCTATGTATGTGAGCTATCATTATTAATAAACAAATGCTCCTTATTTCAATGTGAGCTCTGTATTACAATGTAATCATTAAAGCCATTCAATGCAGTAACTTTTATAACCTAAGGGATAACTCAGTGGTACATGACTAAAATTCATTTATCTGATTAACAAGAGAAAAATTCATGTCACTTCACTTACTGTTTCTTTCTCCTTCTTATAATAGGTGAGCGGCAAAACCCCAAAAAGTGCTTTATTTAAGGAGTTTAGTGTCCCCTTTATACACAGACCTGAGTTATATATCATTTGAAAGCTCAGAGTCTGCTGGTCAAAGTTAGCCATGATGTGGAAATGGCAATTGCCTGCGTAACCATGGAAACGGATAATTTCCAAGATGGCCGCCTGTTTTTTTGCATTTTTTCTAAAAATACAAATCATTGATAAACATACCTAAAACATTGTCTATCATCTAACCTTTACATGTTTTGTGATGAGGGAGGTTATGGGCTAAAAAAAACACCATAGCAGGATTTCAAGATGGCCGCCGTTTTCAAGATGGCCGCCATTGTCTATGAAAAATTGGTCAAATTTTCTCATTTTATTCCAAATCTTTACATATAGAATCAAAACTGTGGTGTCCACAAAATAGTTATTGCATGAATTATACAAAGTAGGTATATTTTCATTTAGTTATGGCATTTGGTTAAATTTGGGGGATGGTAAAGCAGTCAATTTTCAAATATTCAACATGGCCACCATGAAATGCCTATTTCCATGAGGTAGGCTTTTGTGCACTTAAATAATCAAAAAAATTATTTTTATTACCAAGCTCAAAACATATTTTTGCTAGATGCTAGATTTTACATGATGCTTCATACAACTTCTTCAAAATGGCCACCATTTTCAAGATGGCCACCGTTTTCAAAATGGCTACCATCATTTGTGAAAAGTGTTCGAATTTGCTCATTTTATTCCAAATCTTTATATATTAAATCAAAACCATAATGTCCAGATGACTATTATGGAATGAATTATACAAAGCAGTCCTTAATTTATTACATTATGGCATTTGGTTTAACTTCAGTGATATTTTAGCAGACATTTCTTAAATATTCAAAATGACTCACTGCCATGAAATGCAAATTTCTGTAACTTGGGATTTGATTCAGCTAAATCATCAAATAAATAATTTTTGTGTCCAAGCTCTCATACATATTTGTAGTAGATGCTACTTGATGCTTAATACATCTTCAAGATGGCCACCATTTTCAAGATGGCCGCCAAATCGCTCAAAATTGTATTACACACATCTAAAAGATGAAATTATTCGCAAAGCATTACTACATATATGGTTGTAAAAGAAAAATAATTGTAGGATATGTGCTATTACTGCAACTTTACACTTATAATAAACAATTTTTGGATTTTCCAGTATTTATATGTACTAACACATGTTAAGTCAAGTCAAAGTTAATACTGTGTTTCTTGTTGTGAACCTTTGTGCGCGATTGTCACAGTAAAAAGAAATCCCATAGTTTGGAAATATGTAGACAATTTTAAAAAATTATTTATTTGTTTTGATCTATCAAATTTAATGTATTTACTATTACCAAAATGTCTGTCATATTAAAACAGGAACCTATCTTTATTTGAAGTGCATCAGTCCATATAACCCACTGCAAATCCATGATGCATTTCTGTGGTCTACATTTATCAAGTTGACTTCTCAGTAAAGAAAGGAGCACATGAATACACTATTTTGCGGCTTCAATTATCTTCAATATTTATCTCAGTACATTTCTAAGTACCCATACTCTCATATATCCCTTAAAATGCTTGTGCCTGCATGCGTTATCTACTCACACACACCCACGAACACATATACATGCTAAACCCTTAACGTGTTCTTTGTATCTACATTAGTGACCTGTCACTCATGCTCTTTCATCAAAATCATAATCAATTTCAATACATGTCCCCAGAGAATATGGATTCTGACATATCTAGTAGGTACACTGGGTCCTTTGAGCATAGTTTGCCGCAAACAATTTGGGCAACATTGCCCTTACTGACACAAGCTGCATCTCCCGGTAACCAGTGCACCCTGTTCTAACAAAGTTTAAAAGAAGAGCTTGAAGGAGGCAGTCCCAAAACTGAAATGTAGGAAATTCCCCTCATCCCCAGGCCTGGAAATCTGAGAAATTTGGCAGCAGATCCTCAGACATACTCTCAGATACATGTTGGTCACCCATAAAACCCACAGCACAAGACTTGTAAAACTCCTACACATTTGACACCTCATACCACATCAACTGTGAAACTTCGCTATTCTTTCTTTGGTACCAAAATAAAAAGCTGACAATCTGAGAGATATCAAAGCTTTAAATGCCAAAGTAAACCCTCTTATTGCCATGTTGAATTGTTTTCCACACAACCCTCTGCCCTGAAGTGGATGCTGCATAAACATCAGACTCTACAATGGCCACCAATGGCCAACAAATCTGCAACGGCCCAAATTTTCCCAATAGAAGCAATGAAGCATGACAGTGTATGGGAACCACCCATACAAATGACATGGCAACCAAACTCTTCAGGAAAAGACCAGTTTATTTTTTGGGCTATGGCATATAGCTGTTGGTTGTCCGTTTGTACAGCAAATTGCTGTGCAAGTGAAGCACTCGCACCCCAACACTTCAACATTGTGGTGTAAAATGTGTACATGTCATTAGGTTTAACATCAAGAAGTGGCATATATGCAGCTGCAGTATAGGTCGTTTTCTTCACAGACTGATTGAATCCTGTCCAGAAATGACCTGCAGGTGCCAAAGCTTAACTTTATTGTTTACAGGTAGGAGATTTCGATGGGACATTCTCAAAAGACTCCATGCAATAACTGTTGCCGTGACCGTACCGTANATAAGCATGCATTTACCAAAGTGCACAGCTATCAATATCTATAACAACCACATCATCAAATGCTTCATGAATCATATTACATTTTCATATCCTAAGAGCAAGATCCACTACCAGTATGCTTAATCTCCTATTTCAGACGTTGTGGCATTTGCTCTTGACAGTGTACGTTTTGCACACAAGAATTTTTATTTCTGTTGATGTTTTAAAATATCTTTCTTTGTTCTTATTTGAAAACTTTTCATGTGCAAAACTTAAAAACAATTTGGTGGATGCTGGTGCAATAAACTCAAAGAAATCATGCTAATTGTTCTGGTGTTATACATGGTATTGTAATATTTATAACTAAGCTGTTAAGATGAACCATGCAGGTAATAAAATAATTGATTTAAAACATGCAAAATTCAAATTATGTCCAATTCCCAAATATAGATACATAAAAAGCTAAAAATTTACAATGATGCACAATAACAACACATGATATCAATTAATGAATATTAATGAATATTTGGTAATTATGTAATGTCTGACTTCAATACAAATGAATATGTATAATCCTGTAAAATAGTCTAGTCTGTTTGCAGTTGCTAGATAGTGTGGGCCATTGTGTTAGGTGTGCCAGGTTGTGACAGTGCACAATGTGTTAGTTGTCTTTGGTTGTGACACATCACACTGAAACTACTCACATTGATTGCCTGAGTATTTAAAGCCTCTAAAGACAATGCTGCTTCCTTCAGGTCTCTGACCTCACTGGTTTTCTTCTGGTCTGGAGAGAAGATACTGTCTGCCGACAGACTCAGATTACCTGCCAAGGTAACGGGTCTGAAAACACACAAAACTTGATTAATTAATGCAGTTCATAGAAGTTTTCATTAAAATATTTTTTAATATGTATTGTTATTTATAGTATAGTGGTTGTTATAGGAATGGTATGAGGAGTTGTTTTCCATACCAGGATGACATCCTTACAATGCTAAAATTATTAACAAACACCAAATGATCAACTTCTGTAAAAAAAAAAAAAAAAATAGCAGCAATTAGTTACAACATAATTTTCTTCAGTCAACAGCTTCATAACATTATTTCTACTCAAATGTGAAGAAAATATTTCAGTAACTTTCAGTACATAACACAGCTGTTGAAAATTCTTTGCTGGATGACAGCAATAAGCTCTTCACTAAAATGTCACTGATCAAAGTACGCATGGAATATGCCAAGTGTCCAAGAACTACCTTTCTTCTCCTGCTTTTACATGTAACAGTTCACTTGTGGATTTAGCAGAGCGTACAGCAACTATGCTGACAGCCTGGTCATCTGACGTCTTACTGCGTTTACGGCCCATGAAGAAACGCCTCATGGCCTTCAAAGGCTTAAACTTTCTCTTCTTCCCCTCTTGCTTTCCATCACTTGCTATAATATCAATACCAGAATGTTAGGCACCAGAGAAATGATATGGGAAATTCACACCTGTTTTTCTTATAGATGAGCTTAAGAACCCCCCCCCCCCCCCCCCCCCCCCCCCCAAAAAAAAAAAAACCCCAACCAGGTTCCCTCATCGAAGCAAATACTTATTCTGACATAAAGTTTGAGCATCCCCTGGAATGGATACTGATAAACTCCTGAATACTCTTACTAGTACCAAGTAATATATTTTCACGTATGTAAAATCTAGAAATTATCAGAAATGAGACTTATCACCTTCCATTTTTTTTTAAGTTTTAATATAGCACTTGGTGGGAAATGACTACCTTGTGTGGTATCCTGGGGTTTGTCCTCATCTTCTGACTGCTTTCCTACAGCGTCTCCCTCCTCCCCTCCAGACGCCATGATGCTACTTCACTACACCTGCTGACCTCTAGTGACTGTTCTGTTGTTCAATGCTGCCTTCTAGCAACAATTCAGTTGTTCAGTGCTGTCCTCTATGAAACTGCTTTTGCTGTGCTGCTCCCTGGTGACAAATGCCGAGCTAGGAGCAGCAATTCCAGGTTTTGGTGGGCTACACCATACAATTACTCCTCAATGCCTTTATTCTGTAAAATACAAATACAAACTAACATATAGTTAAACCAAACTAAATGCATTTAATATCACAAATATTCAATTACAATTAAGTTATTAATATGATATGTCAAGGTAAGAAATTTTTTCACCTACAATTTGCAATCTACAATTATCATATCACTGCTTTATGCTTCTCAATAGTCATTAACCTTGAGTCAGACAAAAATGGAAAAATCCAGTATCGAATGTGTGTTAACGACAATACCGAATTGTGTTAATGTATTTCCTGATAATTAAAAAAACCCAATAGCAAAGCCCCTGGTCACTGAGAATTGTAGAAAGAAGATTAACCTTTATTCCTCTCTATCAGTACTCTTACTTTCCATTTCACAACTGCTACAAAACCTTAGCCCTATATTTCATCACTGATCACTGGTCAGTTTAAAATGTACACAAAAAAGTGAGAAATGGCTTGCTTTTTTTCACCATGAATTAAATCCCTGCATGACCCATAGTAATAAAACTTGACCTTTCTCACACATGAATAAAACTGGAAGTCACATTAAAAGCTTCTGACCCATAGTTCTCATTAATATGGTCATATCTATGCAAGTCTGCCTAATAGAACTTATGTATTGCTATCTAAGTGCATGACCAGTCAAAGGACATTACTGTAAGGTTCAGGTTATCTTCACAGTCATATTTATCCAATGTACTATCTACTATGGAAATATGGTTGAGTTCCTCTGTCACGACCTGTTATAACTTGACATGCCTGAGGTGTCAACCATGACACAGTACAGTTAGGCCACAGTTAGTCATAATGATAACACCTGCCCTAAAGCAGGCCTACCCAACTACCAGACTCGGCACCTAAGGATCCTGAATTAACCGGTATATCGGACCACACTACCCGTTTTCAAGGTGTGTGTCAGATCGTATTTCGGAGTATCATACCCAGAACAAATTTTGTAGGACGACTGCGAGCTCATCCACGCTCGACTGAACAACCTGAAACAGTACTCTTACTTTAGAGTACTCTATTTCATTGTCTCTATGGGGGTATATGGGGACTTTACGACATTCGGTTTGAATGTTTTAACCACTTTTGATAGGGCTATTTTGCATTGTATTAGATTAATGAGGCAGTCTAAGGTTCATCTAGGTGGCTTTCAAATTTATGCACCCGGTTTTAAAATCATATAGCGATTAAATACGACAATCATTTACTATCCAATCAAGGTGACAGCCGAGCGTGGGCTCATCCTGTCGGTGTTCTGACTGATACTCCGAAATGCGATCTGACACACACCTTGAAAACGGGTAGTGTGGTCCGATATACCGGTTAATTCAGGATCCTTAGGTGCCGAGTCTGGTAGTTGGTTAGGCCTGTAAAGACAGGGGCCCAGTGTCAGAACAGAACAAAACAAAACTGAAACCCTGGTCCGAACTCTTTGCTATAAGAAACAAAAACTTAGTCTGCTTTTATGTTAGATAGAGCAGTAGTCCTCCTAATGGGGCTATGAGAACTTTTTTCTAAAAGTGAGAAATGGCTTGCTTCAGACCAATCACTACTTTAATTGTCTTGGCTGCTATTGGTCTATCCTGGTACATCAAGGTCCTAGCTGTCCACTCAAACATGTATAAGAAAAAAAAGAGTAGAAAAGAAAATAAACAAAATAATTAGGCAAAAGAACTGGAGGGCATACACCTTAAGTACACTAAACCACAGGACTGAAACCACAAATTAATGGTACAGTCAATGAATATTCATATCTCTGTATCCAAAAACAAGTCTGTTTTAAATATTTTGGCATGCAAACACAACAATATCAATACCATATACCTGTCTGATGCACTGAACACATGCCTTATGCTGAACTTGATTGCTTCTCTACAGCCACATGAAGTGGGGGGACCTTACATAACAAACTAAGTGTCTTAATCCAGTGTGGTATTTATGCCACTGTTAGTAGGATTGAAAACTACAAAACACACCCACATTTGTATTACATCTATTATAACTATCTGGGTTTTCTTATCGTTAAGATCCAGGTAAATATCTTCACATAGTAAAGATTTTAGCCGATGGAATATGCGCAGATTGTATATGGGCCCTGAGCCTCAGATATAATATTGCTCTCTGACACATTATAGGTTATTTTGCAATTGGCAAAAAAAATTGCCGAGCTGGGATGAGGAAAGTGACACAATTTCTCTAACCACACAGCACACTTCTAAGCATTAAAATACTCTCAAAAGAACAACAATGTAGGTGTGGTAAAGAGACTGCATTATCTCCAACAATGCCTATAAAAACTGTAAGGCACATTAAATTTTTTCAAAATGATATGGAACTGGCTTACTGGTATGCTTTAACAGTTAAGTCTATTGATATTTCTGCCGGAAGTCCATCAAATAAGAGAATAAAATATGAAAGCCATTACAGTGAAATGTGTTAAAATATGGCATGCCATTTCCCAAACATGTGACAAATATATCAATGTCCTTGAATATAACAGACAGGTAATAATTTTGACTGGTAGACATCAAATGTATGAAATGTATATAGAATTTACCACCTGGAGCTATGGGACAAAATCGGATGTTAAAAACACATAAATCAAACCAGTTTGCCACCTTCGTAATGTATACGTGTAACTAGACAAGTCAATCTAGAATTGTTTTTCTCCTGGACCCACGTATTCACATACATGTAATACAGCCACATAATGGCAGCTTCACTTCTTTAAGAGACAGAATTTCCTAGCATCCTCAAAAAATTTGTAATTTTATTCTAAGGTCACACTTTCAACATACATAATCAAAAACTTTTAGAAAAAAGTTATTGAAGAATTGTTTTTCTCCTGGACCCACGTATTCACATACATGTAATACAGCCACATAATGGCAGCTTCACTTCTTTAAGAGACAGAATTTCCTAGCATCCTCAAAAAATTTGTAATTTTATTCTAAGGTCACACTTTCAACATACATAATCAAAAACTATTAGAAAAAAGTTATTGAGAGCACATCATTCTTCATTTGGCTTAAGCCGAATGAACAGCTACATGCATTCCTTGCATTTTTTACTTCAACCTTAAAAAGAAGTTTTTGAGCACAGGTAGTAATTTCATATCTTAAAAGAAAGAAGCATTCATAGTCATCTGTACGGGTCACTTAAAAAAGAATATAGAAATACCTATCACAATGACAATCCTATATACTATCCCTATAAGGTATGACACACCTCCTCCCTTTTTCATACCTTGATGAGTCTGAACAATGAAAAAATAGCTATAAAGTACTTCACTGTACTACATGAATATCAACTAATAATACACTCCTCTTAAAATGCAAAAACTCATACTGTAATGCTGCCATTTTTATATGCATTCTTTATGCCTATTTCATCTCTGATGAACACATCAGAGAACCATAAAAATGAAATGGCAGTGAAACTTAACTAGATACTCAACATATGATTAAAAATAAGGGAGAAACTTTGCAACCTTTTTGTCATATATGAATATGCAAGTTTCAAGTAGTTCAGATGAGGTGCATTTTTTCCTATTTTTTCTATTAAATTGAACATAAAGAGAAAGACAAGTTAAATAGCAGGAATAGAATGCTACAGATAGAGACAATTCTGCAGTTTACAAGTCCAATGGTTTAAAACTGCCTCAGTGCACCTATATAACAGACATATTTGTAACAATGACAGCCTTTAAGGATGGACAGTTGCCGTGATACCTGACATGGGCAGTCTTAATAGCTTGTAATTTTTCTTTCAAGGCACTTGAGATTGCATGACAAAAGGGCTGTGTATAAACTTGGTTGAATGAATAATCATTTTCAGTCATTTTTATTTTTCCCCCTTTTTCAGTTTACTGCAAGCCCAAAAACAACTATGTCACAAAACAGGGAGTCAATTTCTAAATTCAAATGATCTGAACCAACGATAGAGTATACATAAGCTATAAATATGTAATTTAGGAGACAAATAACAGTGTATCACAAAATGTTATTAACAAAATGTTTTCTTCATATTAAGTACACTCTACAAGTGAGTACTAGTACTAGTGTGTCCAAGTCATGCAGTCCAGGGTTTTGTGGTTTCCTTTATCTTGATGAGACACCGGTCACAAACAAAATGTGGTCAACTGTTTATCCTAACCTGCATAAATGACAATGACTTCGACATTCTAATACCTCCATGTGGTGAATGCTTTATTGTCTTAATTATTATATTACGGAATAGATAAAGTGTTATGTGATTCATGATGGTAGGATTATCAACATTTGCTAATAAATTCTGGATATATGCACCAGTAATGGTAACTGTGGTTTGATCAGGTTTTATTACCTGTACTGGGCTGAATATATACATTTACAAATATCTGGATATTTCATATTCCACAGTACTACTACATACATCATAGCCAAACTGGTCTCCTTAGCAAGTTGGTGTAATTCTTTTCATCTCTGTAGATCAAAGCTGATACCAAATCCAAATTCTCCATAGGAACTGAACCAGGCCAAACATCAAATCTATCAATCTATTATTAGCATATTATCACTTCTAGGTATTAGTATCATACTAGGTAATATATGTGGTCCAAATAATCATGGGGGCAGACATATACATAAATTTCACTATTTGGCTTACTTCCTTCTAAAACAAATACCAGACAACTTGTGTAGTAGCAGGTTTTACTGACATAACACCCCCAGCCAAATTTTATATCACAAACAGGTAGATCTAGTTACTATCCAGGTACTTGCTTGGCTTTGCTAGGTTGTTGTGTTTTGTTTGTGTTGGCTTGGCTGCTGTTTTAAGTTTTTTTTTTTCAATGAGCTCTGCTGCAACTTCTGACATTTTCTGTTAATTTTATTTTCAATATTTTGCCCCAAGATTAGTGAAAGCTTACTCTGCATCAGCCAAATGAACTTCCCACGAGGTGCAGAGTAACTGTTTATCATGCAGCTAGCAACAGGTTAATACCATTCACAAATGAAATAGAAAGTGCTTTGAATGTGTACCACTAAGTGTTTGGCACAAAGCACTGTCTGGTTTTGATTATCTGCAGGTAGAGAACACAACACTACACACCCACACACATCCAAATTCGACACTACTCCTTCACTATAAAAAAGTTTTAGTACCTTTCACTACATCAGCAAAAACAAAACTTACAGCAGCTGTTGCTGTATTTTATAACAGTTGCAATATTGTACCTTGAAACTGGGATAGATCTAACTTTCTGTTTCATATGGCCAATCTCTTTCAGGAACCACAATAAAATCAACTTTATATGTTCCTTAACTGTTGCAATTGCTAGTGGGAGTGAAGGCTTTATTAACCAGTGTCATGAAAGGTGAATACAAATTAGTTTATCAGAAGTAGTTTTTGAGCCTAGTATGTATGGTGACTACTTCATATGATATTAACGCTGAAAGTCATTATTCCCATTATTTTAAAGAAAACATACTTCAATTTTATTTAAAATAAAAAAATGTCCTCTACTTCAGCCATAATTTAAAAGTATACAGACACCTTGGCAGTGAATAATAATTTAATTAATATCCACAGACTTCAATTTTATTTAAAATAAAAAAATGTCCTCTACTTCAGCCATAATTTAAAAGTATACAGACACCTTGGCAGTGAATAATAATTTAATTAATATCCACAGGAGGGTGTTAGATGTTCAGTCTGTCTGTGCAGTACTTTAGTTATATAGTGGAAGCTTACCTGAGCTCTCATGAGTTGACCCAATTCAAATTCTATTAAGGAATGTGAACTGTCACAAGACCTGCAACTTTCAGAGAGAACAAGGGGTTTGTTTGTTTGGTCAGTTGATCTAGTGGGCCTGCAGCTTATTTTGGACGACCATTCCGTTGCTGACCAGTTCAAAACAGTTATACAGACACAAGGTGTGCTCTCGGCACATGACATTTACTGTACAGTTATCTTAACAATTCCTGCTTATACAGAAGGAATGTGTATGTGTGTGCATATTTGTTACCAGCCTGTAGAATTGTACTGGATATTTGACAAAGAATGCTTCAGATACAGAAAATAAGAACATAATACTTTGCTAAATAACACTTGCTTGTACCACTGGAAGTCTAATATAACAATTGCCTATCTTTTTACATCAAACCCATATCTACAAATGTGTGTACAGTACCTGAATAACAGACTACTAGTATCTTTCAGATTGTTTGTGATTGTTTCATATGACACACTCAAGAGGGTTTTGATTATCAGGACATTGTTTACTCTATGCTGAATCACAATCACTCTGTATATAATGACCACACGCACTGCCATATAAGGATTGTATTAAATAATTTTAAAGCTGGGGACTGTCCTCCTCTATTACAGTTTTACTACTACTGCTTCAACCACATATTGACCCTATACATGTGTGACTCAATGTCATCATGTGGTCACATCTACTTCATCTATCTTCTATTAGAAATAAATGTCCTTTTTATTACCATGCACTGTTACTAGCTTATCTTTCCTTGTGTCGACAGCCTGAAGGCTTTGTCGATCATCTTCAAGATAAATATATTAATACACCTGTACATGCCATGTGTTTTATCAAGACCTGCCCCCCCAGTTTTAATTTAGTCCCTTGTTGGTACATAAAAATCAAGATTAGATACGATTTAATCTTTCTTCTCTAAATACACTGGCAAATTAATTTGTCTACATATTACTCAATGTTTACCTGTAAGTAAAAAAAATGATTCTGGTTCTGCTTAATCGCAGTGTTAATTCACAATCTTGTTGGTACTAGTACGTAAAAATCAAGATTAGACACTTTTTAATCTTTTCTCTCTAGATACATAGGAAGAATAGGATGTCTACATATTACTCACTGTTTACCTATGAGTAAAAAAATACAGGTTCAAATTTATACATAACCCACCCCCTTTCCCTCCACGACCAGCTCTTCATAGCATTCCCTCATTCAACGGTAAAAATTCAGTGACTGAGTACAATATTCCACACTGGCCACTTATATCCCATTCCCTCTTTAATATACCCGCATCACAACTGTTTGATCACTGGAGTTAACAAGTCGCCTTACACTTACATTGATCTGGATCATGATACTGTCACCTGCCTGGAGTAGACTCAATACAATGCACCTGGCATGCGGAACATGCAGATTACTCAACATTTAAGAGTGGAGACTTAAAACATGTGAAACCTGCCACAATCTACATAGCACTGTAAACAACCTAAACCACTAGAATACCTGTTCTATAGTGTCCCTTAGCTTGATACTCTGTACTTCTAGCATCTGAAACACAAATTAGTGTTGCTACAATTAGAATGAAACAGGAAATACCACAGTTTTCCTAAAATAGGTTTGAGTTTACAGTCATGGATGCCATGCTAATCTGGTGATGTCTTGTACATATACTGTAAGTTGCACTGATAACCTACATCCATTGATGAAAGCTCATCAATCAGGGTTAGAAATCACGCACACCAAAGCATAAAATATACTGCAAGATCTTTTGACTGGCTCTTGTATCCAATCTAAACATTGATCCATACAGTCAATATTGACTTACCCTTACTTCAACAAAAAAAACTACAACACCAAGCATGACAACCAGGCTGATATTCCAACACAACCTCATAGAAATGGCGTTCATACCCCTTCCCCTTGTTTTTTGGGTTCCCTTTTCTCCTATTAAACCACATAGATGCCATGAAAAAAATTTGAATCCCTTTCAAATACAGTTTCTACACATGATGTTCTGAAGGTTAATTTTGGAGATGGAAAGGCAGGTGGGGAAGGGGGGGGGGGGAGAGAGAGAGAGAGAGAACTCAGATGTGGTAACAGGGACCAGATTTTGCTGTACGTGAAAGATGACTGCTTTATCTAAGTCATAAAGAGGAGGGGCATGGGCAGGTGTTAGCAAGATATGTCATACGTATAATCTTGTTAAAGAAACACTGTAAATAGGTGTGTGTGTGTGTGTGTGTGTTAAGAGGTCTCGCTGTACAATAATTTTTCCATTAGCTAATGAGAGAAAATTTAAACCAAACACAATCATACCTGTCACAACCTCATTCCCTGATGAAATCTGACTGCAAGCAGATGAAATATTGGATGGTAAGATCAAACTTATATAAATAGCTATAGACAAAAGAATCTTCACAAGTCTATTACAATAACATATCTGAAACTGTTCTACAAAACACAATTTTAAGTTTAACCAATGATAACTTTGGCTAATAGCAATGAAATATTCTACATCACCCCAGCCTTATTATCTAATAAATATGAATCCATCACTGACATTCTTTCAAAATGTGGACATTTTTATAAATATTTATCTAAAAAAAATTAAGACAAGCTAAGATAATTTGAAAAATCACCTCTATCTTAGAAATTCACTTGGACAAAAANTTAAACCACATAGATGCCATGAAAAAAATTTGAATCCCTTTCAAATACAGTTTCTACACATGATGTTCTGAAGGTTAATTTTGGAGATGGAAAGGCAGGTGGGGAAGGGGGGGGGGGGAGAGAGAGAGAGAGAGAACTCAGATGTGGTAACAGGGACCAGATTTTGCTGTACGTGAAAGATGACTGCTTTATCTAAGTCATAAAGAGGAGGGGCATGGGCAGGTGTTAGCAAGATATGTCATACGTATAATCTTGTTAAAGAAACACTGTAAATAGGTGTGTGTGTGTGTGTGTGTGTTAAGAGGTCTCGCTGTACAATAATTTTTCCATTAGCTAATGAGAGAAAATTTAAACCAAACACAATCATACCTGTCACAACCTCATTCCCTGATGAAATCTGACTGCAAGCAGATGAAATATTGGATGGTAAGATCAAACTTATATAAATAGCTATAGACAAAAGAATCTTCACAAGTCTATTACAATAACATATCTGAAACTGTTCTACAAAACACAATTTTAAGTTTAACCAATGATAACTTTGGCTAATAGCAATGAAATATTCTACATCACCCCAGCCTTATTATCTAATAAATATGAATCCATCACTGACATTCTTTCAAAATGTGGACATTTTTATAAATATTTATCTAAAAAAAATTAAGACAAGCTAAGATAATTTGAAAAATCACCTCTATCTTAGAAATTCACTTGGACAAAAAAAAAAAAAATATATATATATATATATAAATAAATAAATAAATATATATATATATATATATATATATATATATATATATATATATATATATATATATATATATATATATATATAAATGACCCCAGAAAATCAATACAAGCACCCCCCCACCCCACCCCAGTCCACTTAAATTCCATTCAATGCCTCCAGGCAATTTTAATTAAGACATTGACTGGAGCTTTCCATCTACCAGCACCTAAATCTAAATTGAACAAGAACATGCAATGGCCAAATTTTCCTGTTGCATATAGTTACAGTCACGACATAACAATAATGTTAAATATATATGTGTACTGAGAAGGGGCATGGCATGTCTGCTCTGGGTCTATCCTTTCAAGCATCCTGTGAGCTCATATGTTGATCATCGCTATCATTCACAAACATATTTAAAATTGACTCATCTAAACTACGCACCTGCCCTAAACCAGTTTTCAACATTTTTTTCTCTACCACAAATTCCTACATTTATGCCAGTGTATTGCTCATGTTTATAAGTAAACACACATAAGTCACACAAACACCAAAAAAGAAAGGAATAACCTCAATATTCTGTAGAGATATATCAATGGCAAAACTAGTAGTATCATTACTGAATCTTCTAGTAATGCACCTTCAGTCCTTCCTTTGCTTTACCACAAGTGAAGATAGAAAACAAAACCAATTTTAGCTGTTCATGTCAAAGTCATACAGTACCTCCATCATTCAAACACCAGACCTGTATAAATTCACTGTTGAGATGACAAAGACTATGATATATTAATACATAAATTCACTGGTTCTTGAATCTCCACCAGCTGTTGCCAAATGGTTACAGTAAACCCTAGTTAAAGCACCCATATATGGGATTCTGGCACCCAAAAATATGCACGATAAATATACAAGGGTGCACAGTTTTTCTAGCATAAATTTATAAACCTCACTCTATTGAGCTCTAAACTGAAAGGTTTTTTTTTCTGTATTTCAAATTTTTATTCTCTGCTTGGCTTAAGAAGATTACATGCATTATATGCATTTTTACTTCATGCAAATTTAGGCATATTTTTGAGTAGGTGGTACTAGTAATGTCATCACTTGAAATGGATTACCATGCCCTCAGACAAGCTATGAACCTTTAAAAAAGTAGGAAGACTTCTACCACTGACAATCAAGTTTGCTATCAGTTGAAAAAGGCTAATACACAATTTTTTATATAAAAGAGCTGCTGTGCCCCTCGAGGCTGCCATCCACATATTACCTAATTTTAAGAAACAAGACAAAAAAATCCTTTCCAACAATATACAGAAGTTTATCTTTCAGAGCATTAATATGTTTCTTTCTTGGAATATCAAATAAGTCAGAAAGTTATATATTATATTGGTACAGATTAAAGTTATCTAGCTAGATCAGGTATTTATCTAGCTAAGTCAGCCTGACCAGTAAATGTAAGGATTGACTATGCACATGTTAAAAAACTGGTATCTCTGATAATTTGTCACAATGGACAAGTGAAAAAATATAATCTTAAATGTGTGTGTGTGTGTGTGTGTGTGTGTGTGTGAGTGTGTGTTTGTAGGCATTCGCGCATGTGTGTGTGTGTGTGTGTGAAAGTGATACTATTGTAGCTGTTATTGATTTTACTGCTACTTTCTATTCAACAGACCACTGGAAATATTATGACTACTGAAACTCAAATAATAAACGTACTCTTCTGTAAACACAAAACAAATCTTGACCAAATCACCAGTTGTTTTACACATCAAGTGCAAGGTTAAACATCTGCAAAAAAATTGCTACCGCCCTTTCCAAAAAGAAAACTAAAAACCTTCTTCCATATTGAAATTAGAACTTATTAGTGTTCCAGGCAACAAGGCAGCAGTCTTAAGAATTGCCTATGATTGAGGTGTTCTCCATTGATTTCCCAATGGACAAGCTTTGATGTGCTTGCAGTCATCAATACTTGATTAAAGTTGTATGGGAAGCAGAGGAATGTGGCCTCTAGTACTCCTTGTCATGCATTTAAACAATTACTGGAGAATTAACAATGCATGCCAACACAACATAAGAAACAACAGACTGGAGTCACTGAAATAGGGTGAATTGTCACTAAAGAGAAAAATTTTAGTATAGTGTGTGCATGTGCATTTTTTTTTTAAATCAGAAATAGTTTTCTCTCTCACTATTGTCATCTACATGTCATCATTTTGATTATCCACAGCATGCCAGCTGTTGGTAGCTGTAAGTTATTTCTATCATAATAAATAATGTCATACTTAATTGACTGACCACATTTAACAGAGAAAATGTGATATAAAATGAACTAACCACAAAGCTATCTAATCAGTGGCATGTACCAGCATGTTACATTTGTACACGGCTTATTTATGTCTTGTTTTCACATGCTACATTTAAAACATGTTTCAGAATCTATGGCAAGCATTAAGATTTTTGGTAAAAATTCATTTTCATCAAATAACCAAAATAAAAATAGCAGATGGACAAAAACCTTATAACTAAGAAAACATACGGTAGATCAGGTCAATGCTCTTTGCTAAAAGTCACAAATACCTTATTTATCTTTTGTAGCTCATCTTTTTTCAGACATTTACTTGTCTTGCTCAATTCTTAAAACAGGCTATTACAGCACAAGTCTGCTTGTTAATGCATGTCTAAGAACAACACAAACAAAATTTTTACAAACAACTAGCCTTGCTCTTTTTTTTTTATTCACATTCCCCCTGTTATGTAATAAAACTGCCCTAATCAACTTAAAATAAATAAATAAATCATTCACGTCAAAAGCAAATGCTCATGTCTGTGCAAATCGGCACGGCTTGCAGACCAAACACTAAATGGCTATTTATCACCAAGCTTGTGCAGTAACATCTGGCGGTAACTTTGGCCTTTATATAAATAAGATTTATTAGCACATTAAAAAAGTTAGAAAAATGCATGGCAAAGCTAATTAAATTGTGAAAATATCTCCCAATGCAACGGTCTACGCTGAGTTCTCATAATTCTATTCATCCCTTGAGCTATAACCACTGCCAAACAATCACTGTGCTGTAGGCAATACATGAACGAGAACATGTATTATAACTGTACACTAACTTTATACCGAGTTCATAATCTTAATTCCACTTCATTGTGAGACAGAGGGTAACCGAGATTGACAGCGTCTTAAAAGTTACTATTTCATTTCAACTTACCTGTCTGTCAGTGGCTATATATCCCCTTGGGCTTAATGTACATCTTTATAACTTCTTTCAAATACTTCAGGTCAAAATCACTTTAGAACTTCCAATGTTATTCCCCTCCCCATTTCTCCTTCCAAAGATGGCTGACACCCAAGCTAAGGAGGTCAAGGTCGAGAGGTCAAAAGTAACCGGAAGTAAACAAAACAAACTATGTGAGTACGATAGCTTTGTTGAGTTTCTCAATTTTGTTTCTTTTACACCAACGTTGGTTCATGAAATCTATTCCTGACAGTTGTGTCATATAGAAGCGTTGTTGTAAACGTCATTTTAGGTGCTGCATAGTGATGAATGGCACGTGCTCATTAGTTTTAAATTAACACTAATGTTAGTACGTGTAGAAATACATGTGTGTACAACTTTCCAACTCTTCTTTCTTCGTCTACATTTTTGCCTCAATTCTCGACCTTAGGTGCAAAGTTATTACCGCGTAGCATGTAAGGCCGAAAACTGAGGCAATCTAGTTTTCAGTCATGGCACACACACCCTGATTATACCGTCTAAATTAAGAACACACTTTACCTGTTGCAACAAGTGGATGTGTAGAAATGAAAGATGGGGCAGAACAAACCAAATTACTAAATAAATAAATAAATATAAATAAAGACAGCTACAACATGATTTTCTTGTGGCAAAGTTAAATGTTTCAGTTTAAGCAATAATTGATTGAATTATATGCAGAGATTTTTATAACTCAGTATGTTGACATTAAACTCATTTTCTGCAGTGAATGTAGTAGACAGGCAAAGTGTATGTAATAAAATAGGACACTAAAAAAGTGATGTGAAATGCAGTTAAACACCAAAAGCATATGCAATTCCTTTAAAATGTTCTTTCTTGTATATATGGTACAGTGTAGTGAATTGTAGTAATTACAATACTGATATAAATACAGGGGTATATCATGCAGTACTGTACTTGCACTGTTTTAGCTTAGATTTTAGATAAATGATTAAAAAACAGTTCTACACTGTATGTTGTACAGTGCAGGAGCCCTAGGCTTAGTTGTTCAGGCATTAGTATTATGCAGGAATGAGGTTTTTTCAAGTCATATAATCTGACTTTTTCACTAAATGGCAGTCTTATCCATGATTAAGATTCGCTGTATTATTATGCTTATTATGCCCTTTTCTTAGACAACCTCTCAATCTATGAAAGTAGTTTTTACTGCACTCTAAGAAATTGGAAACTTTAAAGATCCAAGTGTTTCATATATCATATCATTCCAGGCTTCTTACATACCACATTAACTGTCACTGGAATGGTCAGCCTCTTGACCACCTGTCCACTGAGTTGTCCCTACAGAAGCATGGCGGGGACTTAAAGCTTGAGATCATGTCTCCTTTCTTCAACACACCCAGCCCTGCAGGACAGCCTGGTCAGCCATTTCCACAGCTGTGGGATGAGGGAGAAGGTAATAGCCCAGTTCTAGATTCACAGTTGGGAAGAACAGGGCACTGGGTCAGGTGTAAATGTTTTGTGTTACATTTACATTGTTCCTTGATCTCAAACAAATTGAAATAGAGAAGAAAATGTTTGTGCCAGTGTTCATATTAAGAAATCTGCTTACATATGATGAACTAGTAACATTTTTAATATGCCAAAAATAAATAAATATATACTAGTAAATATATTTTTAAAAAACTTCCTTTCCATTGCACTTATAAAGATGATCATTTGAACTTACACATAATTGCAGTAGTTAACATATAAGTAAGCAAAAAAAAAAAAAAGAATTCCACTTTATTTAGTGTATTCATTCTGTGCATTTTAGTTGTTGAGGCATTTTTCTTAAATGATGACAACCAGTACTTAGAAGTGGAGTTCTCACCGTAAGTATGACAAAATATTTTTTAAGACAATAAATATATCTGTTTAACTTTTTATCCTAAAAATCTTTTCAGTGTCTCTAGTTTTACAGTCAGTTAAAGTTTGGTAAAGGACAGAAAATTGAAACAAAAGTCTGTGCTTTAAGATCTAATTTTGCGTGAATGGTGTTCTGACAACCACACATAGCTTTATAATGTATCTGACATAAATGTCTTGAATAATGTTATGTAATTGTAGGTATGGCCACCACTTAGTCCTCATGCTGAATGGTGTTAGGAAATGCTTTAAGGTATGGCTTTTGAAGCCTGTTCAGATAACATAAAAACCCACATGATTCATGATTGAATGTTTCAAATGTTGGTCATCATTATGATCATCATCAGATTTAATAAGCTTTTATCATATTCTATATTTATCATTATACTTTATAGTTATATGTTATTGATTTTCTATTCCAAGGATAAACTGCCCCTTCAGTTCAGTGCCAATATTGAAGATAAGAAGTGGACAGGCAGTGCGCTAATCCCGCTGCCTTATTTTCCTCCCAAGGTGACCAAGTTCAATGCCTACGCCATACACAACTGCAATAAGGAGAGACACTTTGAAGCACTCTACCCAGCTGATGCAGAGAAACACACAGAACCCGATTTGTAAGGAAGAAAAAATAAATTACAAAATTTTTGCTCTCTATTAAAAAACCAAACATGTCTAAATTAATCTTTTGGGTTTTATTTATAATAAATTAAAGTATGTAAGATATCTTTGTACTTAATTTATTGAGGAAGAATTTTTTTATTTTTGTTAAATTATGATCGAGCAGTTTACCCATAAACAACAGAGTTAAGAACCTGTACACAGTAAAAGTAAATGGTAGGTGATTTTCATATCCAGTGTTTCTATGTTTTACCCATGATATAGTCACTCTTATCAGCTAACAGCTGTCATTAGAAAACAAGCAGTACTGAACAACTAAAGATACTGTAAAAGTGAGTGTTACATAGGCTTGTATTTGTTGTTTTCCAGTCATAGGCTAGAGTATTTCCAGCCAATAGATTTCAAGACACTTTTGCCAGAGAACTGGTCACCGGATCATAAGTCAGCCTGGTGGACACAAGACCACTAGATCTGTACTGTACTGTACTGTGGATCACCGACCAAGACCCAACAGTGCCCTCTACTGGTGTTTTTGCATGCTGGTGAACTCCATCTACTTGTAACACCGAGTTTGCCATGTTATTTGAAAATATCTTCTACTTTTTAAGACTGATCTGGTTGAGATGGAAAATGTGTATTCGTCAAATGTGGCCAGATTATTGTTAATTTGTTTCATTTTATTTGTTGATCTGTTTTTACTAAATCAAAAGTTATACTGGCACTAGCCATTAGTTTATAGGGCAGGTTTGTGACTGAATTGCAGGGAAACTGGAGCACAATTAGTACTTTGATATTTTCAAACATATCTAGTTTCAGCTTCATTCAAAATAAGTGAATTGCATGGAATCGGGTTCAAAATAATACACAAGTATGGGTTTCTTTTCCTATGTGGGACCAGTCCAATCTTGGGGAAAGCTACATAAAAGGACAGCCAAACTTTTACAGGCATGGGGGCTTCATTAAGTACAAGACATTATTCTGTGAAGGTAATTTTGAGCATTTTCAGTTAATTTTCCTCAGACCATCGTTAATTCATTTAATATGGTGTAACCAAATGGATTTGAAATTTTAGGTTATTCCAATATTGGAATTGGTTTTTATCTCTTAAGTATACTGGTCCATGTTCGAGTTTGAATTTTGTTATCCTTACCACATATGAAGAGCATTTCAAATTTTTGTTCAAATGTTATCAGTCGCAAAACTGGAATCATTTCGATTAGAAATACTTGCCCCTTTGTGCCTTTTTTGCAAACTGTAGAACAGTCTTTGGGAAGAATGCAATATAAAGACATCAAAAATCAAAGGCAAATTTAAGCATATAAAATACTCAGTACAATATAATATCAAAATGGTCAATTAAGCTTACATATTTATTTACACAATGTACACTGTTGACTTTAAGAACCAAGACTCTGTGATGAAAGATGTAATATCATTCAGGACAGAAATTCACATAAAACAATATTCTCACCCTGTGAAAGAAATTGGGCGATTTAACATAGTGATAATAAAAGGCAGAGTTTGTGCAGATCTTGAGTAAACTTTCAGCACACTAGGTTCACACTGGCAAACTTTTCCTTTAGAAAAGGTTAAATTTTCTATTTGGCAAAAATTCTGGCAAACGCCGATTAA